TCATGATACAAACACTCAGAAAACTAGGAAGAGAAGGGAACTTTCTCAGCCTCATAAAGGACACCTATGTGAAACCACAGCTAGCACCATACTATACTCACTGGTGAAATATTGAAAGCTTTCCCTCTGAGATGAGGAACAAGAGAAGTATGCCCCCTTTCACCACTGCTATTGAACAATGTAGTAGAAACTCTAGCCAGAGCAATAAGGCAAGGCAAAGAAATGCAAGGCATCCAAACTGGAGAGGAAGATGTAAAACTCTATTTGCAGAGGACCTGATCTTACATACATAAAATCCTGAAGATCCACAAAGCAACTACTATAGCTAGTAAATGAATTCAACAAAATTGCAAGATCCAAAATCATCACAAACATCAGTTGTATTTCTAACACACTATAACTCATAATAGCAGTGAATAATCCTAAAAGGAAAATTAAGAAAACAACTCAATTTACAGTATCATCCAAAAGAATAAAATACCTAGGAATAAATTTAACCTAGGAGGTAAAAGACTTGTACATGAAAACTATACAACACTGCTAAAGAAATAAAGAAAACCTAAATAAATGGAAAGACATCCATGTTCAAGTATAGGAAGATTGAATATTGTTATTAAGATGGCAATACTATACAATCTACAGATTTAACACAATTCTTATCAAAATTCCAACAGCCCCTCCCTCTTTTTTTTTTTTGCAGAAAGATTGGAAAAGACAATTCTCAAATTCATGTAGAGCTACAAGGGCTCCTGAAGAGCCAGAACAATATTGAAAATGAAAAATGTTGGACTCATCCTTCCCAATTTCAAAACTACAGCAATTAAGACGGTGTGGTTGGTAAGGGACAGACCTAAAAGCCAATAGAATAGGACTGATAGTCCAGAAATAAACCCATACATCCATGGCCAACAGATTTCCAATAGTGATGCGATGATCGTTCAAATGCGGAAAGAATAGTTTCTTCAAAAAATAGTGCTGGGAGAACTGGATATCCACATGGAACCTTGTTTCACATTATATACAGAAAATTAAGTCAAAATGGATTACTGACCTACATATAAGAGCTAAAACCATGCCACTCTTAGAACAAAAATTAGGGTTAAATCTTTGTGACCTTAGATGTGACAATGGTTTCTTACCTACGACACCAAAAAGCAGAAGGAACAAAAGTATATCTCAAAATCTCTCAAACTATCTGGACTTCTGGTTTTTATTTATTTTTGGCCGCGTTAGTCTTTGTTGCTGCACAGGCTCTCCGCTAGCTGTGGTGAGCAGAGGCTACTCTCTAACTGGAGCGTGCAGGCTCCTTACTGCAGTGGCCTCCCCCGTGCAGAGCACAGGCTCTGGGGAGCACAAACTTTCTTCTGTAGCTCCAGGCTCCTACAGCGCAGGCTCCATAGTTGTGGCTCGTGGGCCTAGGAGCTCTGCAGCGTGTGGGTTCTTCCCAGATCAGGGGGGAAACCCGAGTCATCCTGCACTGGCTGGCAGATTCTTTACCACTGAGCCACCAGAGGAGCCCTCTGGCTTTTCTTAGAGAAGTTTCTCATATGATAAAAATTGGCTACTGTCAAAAAGTAGCTGCCTCCTTGAGATGGAGTATATTACTTTGCAGTTTACCTCAGTCTCTTCTACTTTCTGTTCTTGACACCACGGCCAAAATGTCAATTTTGTCACACTGGTCTTACTATTTCAAAGAGAAATTAAGAATACGACTAGGATATCTCTTGTATTCATGTTCCCATTGAAAGTGGAAAAAAGAATCCATTTGTTTACTCCCAATCTGTGTTACTTATTTTTATTTACTACTCTGCACCTGTACAAATTTGCAAATCTTGTTCTTTTTTGGTTTTAAAAGATAGAAACCAAAAACTCTGGAAAATAATAGAACTGAATTAGCCACATAAACCCCTGAATTACAAATTCACCTTTTGAGGCCACGATGCACACATAATCAAAGTCAGACACCTGCCAAGTTTTTAAATGTCCAAATGGTTACACCAATCAAGGTTAAAATTTGGGTTGAGGGCAAAGCAAAATCCATCTTTTGGTCACTTGGCTTTGTTTTCCCCACTGGAGGGCAAAAAGTCACTACCTCAAATTTCCTTAAAGGGAAGACTGGGATTTGAAGATAATATACAGGATAATATTCTCAACTTGGAAGTACTTTTTTTTTTAAGAAGATACTGTGTAGGTTTCTATATAAAGTAATAAATGCAAGTAGGGAAATGGGTAGCAATCTGACCAATTTTCCCATAGTACCTAGGATTTTTTCAGCAGTCTAGCCTTGGGACATACACAGAAAGCTTTGTTGCAGGGGATGGGATAGGATGGCATGCATAAAAAATGAACATTAATTCCTGGGAACTAACTGTGCCAGGCACAGTTTAACAGATTTGAAGTGCTTTATGACTTTCTAGCACCCACAGGCATTTAGCCCCATTTCACAGAATGCTGGAGAGGACAAAGACATAAAGGGAAGCAGAGGGGGGGTTCCGATGTAGGTTCGTCTGGGTTTACCTACTTTTCTGCCTTAAATATGTTTCTAGCCTCAAAGCTCTTTAAACTTTACCACTAGGTTTCTCACAGCCACAATGTAAACGGCTTCTAATAAGGGATAAGACAGGGGCTCTTTCATCTGGGAAGGATAAGAAGTTGCGGATGCCTAATGGGGGTGGGGGGAGAAGAAGTGAGACAACTGCTATTACAGCTGATGCTACCTCTTTCCTCTCCTACAGCGAAGCCTTTGCAACTACCCAACCTGCTGTGCTTCCTCCTAGGAAGGCAGAGCCACAGGACCTGCCCCAGATGCTCTAGAGACTGAGTTCTGTGATGGTACAGGCTTTCACTTACCAGCCCTCATGTCAGTACATGCAGCATAACAGCTAGCACGGAATCAACGCATTTTTACTAATGATTGCTATCATCCTAAACAAAAGAGCAAAAAGCAGAAAGGAACCCATCTAGCCTGGTCACATACACAATGGTGGGATACAGGTTTGGGTATCTCTACAAGAAGGCTGTAAGTGGTACTTCTGTGGCTACATATCGCCTATCTGTGAGATCTCTGAAACAGCTCTAAATGAGATGCTGGAAATGAAATATGAAGAAAAAGGGGGAGACTAGAAAGATCTGAAGATAATCTTGAGAATGGAGTCTAAAGAGAATCCTTCTGACTGAGCCTGATAACCTGTAAGACTACTATGCCAAGTGGTCTGCTAAACTAGAACAGCAACAATTGCATTTATTAGATCAACAAGAAGGGAGCCCATGGAGTTCACTGCTAGAAAAGTTTTTTTAATTTATGGATATATTTTTATGATATTATAATTAACATGAAGAGCTCTATCAATATATAAGGCTGAGAAAGGAAAAGATATTCAAGATCTAATATGGAAAAAACAAGCTACAAAGTAATATGTAATCTGATTTTGCCTTTTGCTTTAAAAAGAAAACATGGAGGAATATGATGCTAAACTGCTAGTAGCAACTGCGAAGGAAAAAATTATGGGAGACGTTTCCTCCCTTCACAGACCATGAGGGAAGGCACTTTCTCCCACATGTATCTCTGTAATGTCTGGATTTTCTTTCAATATGTATCATCGTTATAATCAGAAAAAAATAAGAAATGTAAAAATGAAGTGAAATGGAAAAGATTCTTGTATCCTAAAAATATCTTGATCAAATAAGAGGTCAAAGAGAAGTAACATTCTAAAATAATGTTTTGAAACCACATTCTTCGTAACTCTAAGGCTCCTCAGAGGTCCTCTGAGAGCCAGCACAGGATATGACGGCAGATGGTCTACAAACATGACTCCACCCAAACTCCTAAGCTTGGGTATCTTACTTTCCTTATTTCATATTGAAGTTCCGCTGATAATAAATTTGAAAACTTCTGATCTAAAATGCATGTTAAGTCATTTATCTCTAAATGTTCCTCAAAGCATTTCCTAGGGTTTGAGTAGGCTCCCCAGGAATAGATATGTGTTTTCGCTTGTATTTCCTGATATAAGATTGTGGTACCCAGATTCTTAGTGCCAAATTAGCAGCATTTATGAGCTGCCTGGTTAGAAAGCCGGTGTTCTGTGCATAAGGCTCCTCTGTTCAAGGCGGCCAAGGCAGCAGGAAGCCTTCTCATTTTCCACCATCTGGCCAGCCTCTCTGAATCATGGTCAGCCACCCAGAAGCAGAAGATTCAGGATCACCAGAGACTATTTTCAGATGAATGAGAACTCAAGCCTGAGCAATTAGATATAGGTCAATGACTTTTTAAAGCAACCTTCTTAAAAGAGCTTTTCTTTGCAAAATTCTTTCTTGTCATTGGTTTTTCTTTAAATAGAGTACAGTGACTGCCTATAAAGTCCTTCTTCTTGGTTTTAGAAGTCTTTCTGTCATGGAACCCTTATGTATTCTTGGAGGTTTAGTTCTACAGACTTGCGTTTCTGCCAGAAAATCTGATTTTAGAAATACAAATGAAAGGCTTCAATATTTGAGCTAAAATGTCCGTAACCTCTAGAGTTAAAAGAACGCATTTTAGAAATCTTAATTTTTCATTGGCTCCTCATTGTCTGTAATAGCCAGGGAAAATCTTTGTAATGAAATTCTTTTCCTTGTTTTGTTTATTCTTCCTGGCTTTTATAGTGATATCCTCATATGGATTCTCACTGGGCCGAAAGGAACAGGACATTTTCTGTTTACTTCTTTATCTGTGCTTCCTGACTGAGGGCAGCAGAACTGGTATCTGTGAATTTCTGCTTCTGAACCAGCAGGGGGAGCTCACTCACACAAGAATCAGAATTCACCTACAAGGAGATGGTGGGTAAAGCAACCACAACTTTCTTCAGTAAGAACGGCCCTTTTGTGCTGTGGATAAATTATCTCCTGATAAGCAACTAACAGTGGTGCTGAGATAAAGAGCCTTTGAGAAGATAAAGACCCCTTACAGACTGCCCAGCCTCAGTGGCAAAGCTACTGCCCAAAGCAGGTGCATACTGTGCCTGTACCTGTTTCTCAAGGCTTGGCTTGCTAAGCTGTACAGTCTGAGGTCCAGCGAGTCTGGTCCCTGGAGTAGCTATCACAATGCTGGTGAGCTGGGCCATGGGGAACGTTTTGGCTATGGTTGCAGTCTGCCCATTGACGACACGGACGGGGTGGATAGAATTCTGGGAGGTAGGGAGGGTCGTGGGGGTGAACTTGGTCAACATGACGGGCCTCTGGATAAGCTGAGGAGCTGCAAGCATGGGAGGAGGTGCTGGGGCAATAGGAATGTTATTCTGGGCCACAGGCTTGGGTCGAACCTATGGAGAAAGAAAGAACAATTATCGTATTACTAAAACTTCTCAAGTCCTATAAGCTTTAGACACTGCCAGATCTTCTACACTATATATGTGAAATGGTATTCAGTACAAATATTTATTGATAGCCACTTCAGAATTATCAATTCTATAGATCTCAGGATATATAATATTACAGAGATGCATCAGCTCTTAAGAGGATCCAGATGCTACCCTAGAATGTAGATTTTCTGATTCCAAACCATAGCTCCCTCTCCTATACCATGCCACCTCTTCAGGCTGAGGTCAGATGCCTAATCCAGAGACTGGTCCCACCCAGAACTTGTGCCCAGCAATGGTAATAACGCTGCCAATGCCCTGAACTCACATTCTAAATTTCTTCACACCCACAGCTTCCGTTCGCTCTCATCTCTGGTCCTCTAACTCCCTGTTCCCAGCCAGTCCTTCTCTATGTCTCCCTTCTGGCTTCCTGTACCTCCGCTCAGTCCAAAATATAACTATTTCTCAGGGTTTTGTCCTGGAACCCCTTTACTTCCCGATGTCCTCACTCCTTCTGGGAATTCTCACGCATCCTACCGCTTCAACTGAAGACTTCCACACTTGGATTTTAGGACCAGACATTTCCTGAACTTCAGAATCATTTGTTCATCTCTCTGTTATCCATCTCTACTTGGAAATTTCACAAGAAGTTCAAAATCAACATGTCTAAAACTCATCAACTTCTTCCAATCCTTTCTTCTTATAATCATTACCTCAGTAAATTCCCCTTTCTTACTAGGGAAAAAAAAAAAAACACTTCAGAATCATTCCTAATGTTTCCACTCTACCTCCGCTTCCTAAATCCTTCTCAAATATGTCTACTTTTCTATCCTCACTGCCACTACTCTAGCTGTGACATTTTACTGAAACAGTGGCAGAAAACTGTGATTAAAAACATGGGATTATCCTTGCCTGTGTTCAAATCCTGGTTCTACCACTTACTAGTTGGCTGTGTAACCTGAGGTAACATACCTGATCTCTCTAGGCCAGTATTTTTTAAACTTTCTAAATTGTGACCTGGAGGCAAAATCCCTTCTCCTTATACATAAGAATTTGACCTTCAGTTAACTCTAGCTGTACACCCCTGGAAGCCTGATAACAGAAGAATGACAACTATGTTAGTAGGAACACTGCTTGTGGTAAAAATGACCTCTTGTTGCTAAATCAAATCTACTATTTCCATTTCTTGCAAAAAGCATAGATAGAAATTTGCTATAAACACTTTTGAAAAAGAAGATGAGACACACCATGCTTTGGGTTTCCTAAAATGGGGTGACTCTTGTAACCAGGCATGTCCACTGCGGGGACCTTGAAAGTCACACCTATGAATTGTTGCAAGATACACTGGGCTCCTGAGAGGCATAAGGTTTCTGTTCCAGGAAGGCTCTCCCACTGTCCTGATGAAGACCATTTGCCTGTACCTGAGCAGTCCCTGGACAGCCGCTGAGACTGTTGTATGGACACCTGTAGGGACTCCTACTGAAGAAAAATGTCTGATGCTACCTTGCTGGCAAGCACTGGTTTCTGTCCTATATCATTCCAAGTGGACTGGTACAGAGAGTGGCCTTTGACAGTTTTGTGAGTCTGAATACTTAGCTGCATCTAAGACAACCTTATAGTATGTGCTAAAGATACATAATAGGAAATATGTTTTACACTGTAAACATAGATATTTATCTATAAACAGACAGACATTTATCTATACATCTATTTTTTTAAAAAAACCTCATGAAATAATACTTCATACTCTTAACATTTCCTATTCTGTTTTCTTCATTTTACTTAAAAACTCTGGTTACAGTCCACCAAACTGATTTCACAGTCTACTAATGGGTCATGACCCACCCTTTGAAAAACAAACTAAACCTTAGATTCTTATCTAAAAAAAAAACAACACCTACTTTCACAGAGTTGTTGTGAGGATTAAAACAGATAACCTATGTAAAATGCCTACTACAATAAGTGGCACATAGCAAGATTCTCTAAACATTAGCTATCGTTAATTGTTGACACTGTCCCAACAGTTTCTCCTGCCACAGTCTAGACAATCACCAATCTATTCTCTACACAGTGTTAAGGGGGAATTTTCTAAAACAAAAATATAATCATGCCAAGCACTTGTTTGAGAATAATTTAATGGATCCTCACTGTTCCTAGGCAAGGCCCAATTCCTATATAGCCTCCAAGGTTCCAAAGGCACTGGCCCATGGGCTTCTCCATCCTCATCTTACTCTAGCCTGAGTCAGCCACGTGGCCCACATACTCAGCCACATCAAATTTCCTTTGGTTCCTCAAGCCTACGTGTCTCTCACCATCGTGGACTTGCATACATGTTCCTCTTTCTGCCCGGGACATTTTTATTTCTCCTCCATAACTATGTCAAACTGACATCATTAGGACTTTAGGTCTAAGATTGAATGTCAACTCTCCAAGAAAGCTTTCTGTAATACTCCAAGGATGAGCTGGGCGTCCTTCTCACATGTTCTCATACTGCACGGTACTTCCAACGATTGTTCAGTCGCTCAGTCGTGTCCAGCTCTTTGCAACCCCGTGTACTGCAGCACGCCAGGCTTCCCTGTCCTTCACCACCTCCTGGAGCTCACTCAAATTCATGTCCACTAAGCCAGTGATGCCATCCAAACATCTCATCCTCCGTCACCCCCTTCTCCTCCTGCCCTCAATCTTTCCCAGCATCAGGGTCTTTTCCAGTGAGCTGGCTCTTCGCATCAGGTGGCCAAAGTGTGGGAGCTTCAGCTGTAGCATCAGTCCTTCCAATGAATATTCAGGGTTGATTTCCTTTAGGATTGGCTAATTTGATCTCCTTGCTGTTCAAGGGTCTCTCAGGAGTCTTCTCCAGCACCACAGTTTGAAAGCATTGTGGACACAGTGATTGCCATACATGTGTCGGAAGCTGCATGAGGCTGAGAACTATCTTGAAACCCTCATATCCACAGTTCTTAGGGCCCTTTTGATACCTATAGCATTAAGGATTTACCTGATAAATTATTGATTTATCTCATGTTAGCAATGCCCATCCCCCTCCCCAAGGCAATACAGAAACAACTAATTTCTTTCCCTTCTCTCTCTGTCTGAAAGCTGAGGCCTCAGACAGGAATACCCAGTCTTTCTACCAGGCAAGTCAACTCCCCATCAAAGTCCATACTGGAACAATCCTGGTAATCTGTCATGAGAATGGTGAGTTTGGCCCAATTGCTGGAAGAATGCTTTCATGAGAATATGGGCAGTGTTGCTTGGGTCTGGGTAGAAAGCTCCCTGTATAGCTTCCTAGTCTAAATCTTTATTAGCAAGACTCTGTGCTCCAGTATAATGCTCAGTGCCATCACTTTCCAGAGAACAGAATGCTTTCTACTGGTTGAGTTGCTACTGTCTCCTCCCTACTCTCCTCAGCATATGGGGGTCAGGGGCGGGGCAGAGAAGCGAGAACTACATTCCTTCCCCATTGACAGGCAGTTCTGGCTAAATTCTAAGTCAATGTCATAAGGCTGAAAACGGTGCTATTTTAATTATTTTAAACTTAGGACAAATTCCCTTTCCATACATCCCTCTGCTACAGCATTTTGTCATTGCTTAAAAAAAACCCTGATGACAACATAAGCTTCTTCTGTGGGACGTCCCTGGTGGTCCAGTGGTTAAGACTCTGTACTTCCACTGCAACGGACATAGGTTCGAACCCTGGTCAGGGAACTAAGATCCCATGTGCCGTGTGGTGCGGCAAAAAAAAAAAAAGCTGCTTCATGGTATACAGATCTGCAGCTAGAATCTTTAGCTAAGTGGGATCTGAATATAGCTGAATTGACAAGTACATTATAAGCTGCTTCGAAAGGGTCCACAAGGATTCTTGTCGCACCTAACCCATCACTGGGCTTGCACTGATTCACTCACCTGTGGAAGAAAGTTCGGACGTGGAGTGAGCCTAGGAGGGGGAATAAACTGTGGTACTTTGATGGGCTGAGGAGCTGTTGCCTGAACCTGCTAAAAAAATGAGAAAGACAAATCAGAGGGGAAAATAATTATTCAATAAAAAATAAAAGCTAGCATCCTTTTTTTTTCAGAGTATAATTGCTTTACAGCATGTGTTAGTTTCTGCTACACAACAAATTGAATCAGCTATGCGTGTGTGTATATCCCCTCCCTCTTGAGCTTCCTCCCACCCCTCACAGTCATCCCAGAGCACGGAGCTGAGCTCCCTTGCTACAGGCAGCTTCCCACCGCTCTCTGTTTTACACATGGTGGTGTATACACGTCAGTGCTACTCTTCCGATTCGTCCCACCCTCCCCTTCCCGCGTCCACACGTCCATTCTCTACATCTCTGTCTCTATTCCTACCCTGCAAATAGGGTCATTGGTACTATTTTTCTAGATTCCATATATACACGTTAATATGTGATACGTTTCTCTTTCTGACTTACTTCACATTTTATGACAGACGCTAGGTCCATCTACATCACTACAAATGACTCAATTTTGTTTCTTTTTATGGCTGAGTAATATTCTATTGTATACATGTACCACATCTTCTTTATCCATTCAGATGTCGATGGACATTCGGGTTGCTTCCGTTGTTCTGGCTATTGTAAATAGTGCTAAAGCTCGGGACTCTTAAAGGGTTTTCAGGATCACTATTTTCTTGATCAGACAGTATTTTCTACGAGCTTTCACTGGAGAATTAACCATCTGAATTAACATCACCTTAAGAAACTTTCTTATTCTCCTGCCTGAATGCTTTGCCCCATAAAGTGAACCAATTCCATTTGTTTCCTTATACCTCTAATGTAGAACATAACAGACTCAGCAGTCTTAAGACAATTTCCTCTGACATTCAAGAACTCCTGCACTTGTGAATTTTAGAAGTCGACACTGATTCCAAAGTAAAATCAAACTTGCAGCCTGGACAGATGGGCTTTTTCCTAATATGAGAGTTTTACCTAACAGTGAATGGCTTTCTTCCTACAGAGAATTCTCTAACTCTCAGCATCTGTCTGAGTTATTTGGCTGCTTCCCTAAAGATTCCTGGGTAAGAAGCAGAGCTTCCCTTTAAGGCCCTCTGGCTTCACTCACCACTGGTCATTTGAAAGCCATCAAGACCCTTAGCGTTCACTTTAAGAACGGACCTTTAAACTGCAATTTGGATATATTCTGAAAACACTGGTTTTTAGATGGTTTTACCCTAGAAATCTCAAGAACAATTTTTGTTCAGGAACCTCTTCCTTCCAGAGGTCTTTTTTTTCTGATGGACCTCGGAACAGACAGGGCACTGTTATTTCTGGGTTTCTTAAACGTTTTTAAAGCACCCCAACTAACTCCATTACTTCCTGGGTGTGATTTCAAGGAAGAGTGAACTAAAAACTGAGCAGGGCATCTCCCCTGACTCAGCAGTACAGCACCAGAGCTCTCACGTTTCACAGGGAGGACTGTGGATAGGAGGCAGGGAGAGATACACGAGACCGCGCAAATGCCCCTGTGAAGGACATTTTCCCCCTTTAAGTCAAGTCATATTTTGGCCATCCTTGGTGTCAGGACACCTCTACAGTTATTTAGATAGACAGTGTGTGTGTCAGTCGCTCAGTCGTGTCCGACTCTTCACAACCCCCTTCACTGCCGCCTGCCAGGCTCCTCGGTCCACGGGATTTCCCAGGCAAGAATACTAGAGTGTGTTTCCATTTCCTTCTCCACGGGATCTGCCCAGCCCAGGGATCAAACCTGGGGCTCCTGCACTGCAGGCTCTTTACCGTCTGGGCCGCCAGGGAAGCCTCAACTACTAGAGTGGGTTGCCATGCCCTCCTCAGGGCACCTTCCCAGCCCAGGGACTGAACCCAGGCCTTCTGCACTGCAAGTGTACTCTTTACTGTCTGGGCCACCAGGGAAGCCCCTGTAGACAGCAGGAATGCCACATCCCCTCGTCAGCCCAAAGGCGACTCTGGCATGGTAGAAGACTGATGGAGGCTGGAAAATCCAGCAGGAGCGTAACCTGGGCAGAGCTCTACAAGTGCATATCCTGAACCCTCTCATGTGGGCACACACGGGTAGCAGCTGCTGGCTTACCAGAGTGACTGTGTTTTTTGCCACAATTTGGACAGCCTCTGCCCCAGGCCCAGTGACCTTACTAGACGTCTGGAGGTTGACTGGTGTGTTCTGCACATCAGTGCTGAGCACAGCCTTCTGACTGTTGATGGCGGTCACCATAGCAATGGTAGGTCTCTGGCCCACAACAGAGGCAGGCATGGTCGCAGTTGCTGCTTTCAAGACGAGAGGTAGTGTCTTTGTGGTAATCATAGAAGCTGTAGTTACAGTCTTCTAGGAGACATGGAGAACAGATATTAGGACACTGAAGTGTCATCCCACTAAACAAAATGCTAACCTCCAGAAGAAAACAAAGCAATGGTTCTCATAATCAGTCAAGCTTTTTCGTGTAACATTTCTTTTATGTACATAGAGCACAGTTCTTACTACACGGCAAGACAATGTCAAGTTTGCCAGAGTTCTCAGATTTAGCTTCAAGTCTGTTTATAGTAATAACTGCAAGATAATATGGCCGCAGGATTTTCAACAAGGAAAGGAGTGGGTTTACAGATAGAGAATGTGAGTGTAACTATTTCTTCTGGTTTTTAAATTTTTTGCTTGCTCTCAATTTAAACTTTGTAAAAGTTGCAAATCAATGAGGTACACACCATCTCTTTAACTGTTACAACCTCATCAATATGAAGAAACTTATCATATAATTCTGGTTATCTGCCTTCTGTGACACAGAGGTTTGGATAAAAGGACAGTCAGTGTCTTTAACTCTTTTGAGTGGAGAGGAGGAGAGGAAACTCACATGAGAATTAGTACAACTGCTGCCTCAAAAGCAGTAAATTCCCAATTCTAGATAATGAAACTTATTAACCAACTAGTATAGTAAATACCAGCTCTTGATACCAAAGGGATATGTCACTATCAACAATCCTTTCTCTGAAGGACTGCTGCAGAAGTGATTAAAGAACCAGAAAAAGGCGATGGGGTGGAAACAAACACCTGAGTTTCAGAAAGTCTGATAGAACAGAGTCTGAACTAAGGTGATAGGACTTCACTGATGCTCCACAAGCACTACTGCAGCTTTGGAGCTATATTTTTCTAGATTCTTCTATCAGCATAATTAAAGGAGCCAGCTACAAAAGAAGAAAATATAAACAATCTCATTTCATGGCGCATACATCTATCGAATGCTACTAGTCACTCAATATAGAGATGTTTCAGAAACCTGAAAATACACCTGGTCTAACTTGTTGGTTCTCATTTAATATTACTATATTTCATCTTTTTCTCTTACTCTATACTTGTCCTGTTCAGTTTCGTAGCTAATAGCCACATGTGGGTATTCAAATTTAATTAAAACAAAATAAAGTATCGCTTCCTCAGTCACACTAGCCACATTGATAGTATTTACAGCCACATGTGACTGGCGGCTACCAAACTGGCCAGTGGAGTTTTCAACACTACAGAGAGTTCTATTGGACAAGCGCTGCCCTCAACCAGGGTGAAGGACCCCACTTTCCCTGAAAGAGATCTGAACAAATTCCTTTGTGAATTTATATTTCAGTGTTTATGCAAGTCCTTAAGTCATTTGGTTCTAAGTAATTTTTCTGCCTTAAACATTTGCATGACAATACATTTGCGTGTATTATCTAACTTTTTAACACCCTTTTTTTAACCAAAAACAGGTAATAAGCTGACCTCAACTATCCCATATTGAGAATAATTAGTGATCCTTATTGATGCCTACAATTAATATCACCCAAATACGTTTCCTCTTCCCTTAGTCAATGATACAAGATGACTTACTTTCCTTGCCACTGTCCTCTCCAGTGCAAAATGGGAGTGAAAGGGGAAACACTGATAATTATTATTTATCTTGGGAGGTAGCAGGCCATCCACTGCCTATCAGTGACGAAAACCAAATAAAAGCGAAATGCTGCTTATCACCAGAAGTGTCACAGCAGTATAGCAGCGAGGACTGGCTTTATCCTACCAGCTATCTTAATATCTGTTTTGGATCCAGTGTGGTATTAGTTCTATCTTTCAATTTAAAACATTTAAATACACAGAACTTTTGAAGTGGTGAGCAAGTCACACCAGATGGCATTCAATCCTGGTACCACCATGAGTTGTGGAAGAAAAGCTATAATCAGCAGAACTCACTGACATGGATTTTAGAAACATTTGTGCATGTTGTACTACTTTAAAAGAGGGTCAGTATACTTCTGTTTGAAATATGCTTGGTTCAGGTTAAGTCATTATCAATTTTCTGAATAATTATCCTTAAAAAGTGAGTAAAACCTCAAACTAACCCGAATTATATACTTACCATTAACTGCAACACTAAAAAGCACTGAATTCTAACAAGTGTGTTCACACGTCAGCATTTTTATTCTACTTTAGAAATATTTAGTTGTAGCTAATTTCACTCCATGTCTTCTAGCAGCTACATAACTCTCTTTGTCTATAAAGGCCCAAGACCTAGTACTGTATGTTCTGATGAAAAGCTTTTGATGAATATATTTGCTAACCATTTACTGACATCAGGTATTGCCACAAGTACTGCTTAGCTCTTTACTTCTGGTCTGGTGCTTATTCTATTCTAAGTACTGCTGTTGCTGCCAAGTCACTTCAGTCGTATCCAACTCTGTCCGACCCCATAGACAGCAGCCCACCAGGCTCCCCCATCCCTGGGATTCTCCAGGCAAGAACACTGGAGTGGGTTGCCATTTCCTTCTCCAATGCATGAAAGTGAAAAGTGAAAGTGAAGTCGCTCAGTTGTGTCTGACTCTTAGCAACTCCATGGACTGCAGCCTACCAGGCTCCTCCGTCCATGGGATTTTCCAGGCAAGAGTACTAGAGTGGGGTGCTACTGCCTTCTCCAATTCTAAGTACTAGGGAACACAAACCAATCCTGGAGTTTTGAGTTTAGATGACAAAGAGAATCTAAAATTTTGATATCCAAACCCAATGAAAACCTCTGAGTTGTTCTGGCAGGAGGAAGAGAAGACACAGAGAGGAAAGGTGTCCCAAAACAAAGAAAGTTATTTTTATGGAAGCTGATTAGTCCTTGACTGGTTAATGTGGTCCAAGTATGATCTCTTTCAAGAGATCATTAACTAGAAGTTAATGCAGAAAATATATGGCAAGAAGTATTAACAGCAAAATCTTTTTTTATTTTTTTGCTAAGTTACTGGTTTTTTATGGTCACATGTGGCTAGTGGCTGCAAAGCATAAGGTACTGAATTTAAAAAGACAGGCTCCAATGTACAAATCAGAACTTAGAGGGATTATTACTATGAGCTCTAATTAACTTCCACATCTATTTCAGATTGTTGGTTTAGTTTTGAACGGAAGGTAACTGTTGTACACTTGGACAGCTATCAGTAGAATTTCAGTCCCATTTGTCTATAAGCATTTATTTTCTATTTGGTTTTATTAATTGCATGCTTCTTTACACCTGTATTCATTTAAAATGACAGAGCTGTGAATATAAGTTGAAGAGTACACCTGTGTTCAACTGTTCTTTCACTGTTTTCTGTAGATTGGAAAATTTTCTAAACATACGTACAAACATGATTTGGAGTTAGCTAAGTAAAGGGAACAGGTTTCCTTCCCCCCTCCCTCCCTCTCCCCAGCCTTGGTACATGCTAATCACCCAACTTAGAATAAAACGCTTGCTCTTCTAGCATCTCCTCCTTGCTTACACAGATCGCTATATTAATAGTTAATCCTTTCTGGACTGAAACATTTAGTATATGCCATATATTAAACTTCCCATTTGTCCCTGACTTCATGAACCTTTAATGACTCCCTGTGACTGCCAAAAACTCCCAAAGTTCTGCCACACGTTAGAGAGCTTCCACAAGCTAGCCTCTTCCTACTTCCTGGCTCTATCTCCCTCTCCACCACTTCCTGGAATCCAAGCTCCAGCCACATCAGCCTCCTTGCTATTCCCAAGGCCCGCGTTTCCTTTCTGTCCATACTTTTGTTCACACTGCTCTCTGCACTGTGACGCTCTTTCCCGTCTGCTCCATCACGGAACTCTCTTATCTGTCAAGGCCCTGATCAAAAACTGCCTCCTTTATGCAGCACTCTCTGGTCCCTCTGATCAATATTACTGTCCTCTGGTATTTTCACAGCTCCTCACTTGTGTTTTCATGTTTTTCTTGTTAGCTGTTTACATCTGCCTCTCTTCTAAATTTTTTAAGTTCTTGAAGACAGAAACCCTTATTTGTCTTATTTGTGAATCTGTCCTCTCCAGTGCCCAGCACAGGGCTTGCATATAGTAGAGACTCAATAAATATTTGCATACTTAATGAAAATAATTATCATAGTTTACCAGATTCTAGGCAGGGACATTGTTGTTGTTCAGTTGCTAAGACATTACTACCTCTCTGTATACTAAAAGCTAGCACATAAGGAGCACCCGATAAATAATAATGGACAGTTTACTATAAAAACAAAACCCCCAAACTTGAAGATCTTTTGGCTTTTATCATTAAAAAAAAAAAAAAAGCAATATAAAACAAGCTTAGCTAAATTAGTTAAATTATCAGATAGGCTACCAAATGGAGATGCCACTGTTTTGGGAATAGCCCTGGGCCCCTTACTATTGCCATCCCAAACCAGCTCGGAACTCAGATTACCAGGGAAGGGAATAGCTATTATTTAAGTATTAGGTAAGTATTTCCTCTCATTTGTGCAATATGGAATGGTACTTGAAGAAAAAGTTTCCATGGATTAATAGAGAAAACTCCAAGTACCAGGAAACAACCATGTAAACACTTTCTGATCAAACTGTACTTTGGAAAGAGAACAACCAATCCAACTCTGTTAAAAACTCCAAAAGAAGTAAACTGATAGGCAACCTTTTAGAAGAAACACAAGTCCTGGTCAGGGGGGTTTAAAAGTCAGTTTGAATGCCTCATTTCCAAATAGCCTTGGAGATCAGGGTAAAAATGATGCAGGCCACTCTAGCTACCTGATTTACAATGGGGACTCTTCATTTTTCCTTCTCTGGCATTTTATATAATGTCAGTATTTCTCTTTTGGACATTGTATAGCAGTTTAGAGTAGCAAATGGGCAGATTTTTCAGTCAGAATATCTGGGTTCAAACCCTTGCTCCATCACATGACACTGAAATGACTTTAGGTGATTACTAATTTCTCTGTGACTTCCTTAGTTTTCTTCTCTAGAAATCAGAGATAATAATAATAATACTGCCCTCGTAGGGTCTGGGTGAGGACTGTGCACATTGCACATGTAAAGTGCTTAGGAGAGTGCCAGTATAACTTTATAATATAACCTCTATCAAATGTTAACTGCCTTCAGTAACCTTCAGTGTTTTTATAAGTATTTTTTTGCATTTGCAAAATATTGTATATGAACCAGTCCAATGTACTTCAACAGTGACTAGCCAAGTAAGCTATCATCTTTTGCTCTACATGTAAAGATATGGTGGAGATGGTGTTGGTGGGTGAGCGGTGTCCATGCTTAGGTTTCAGAAGACCCCCAAATCCTTGACACCATGTGCAAAAATGACTGTATTAGGTGTGAATGTGTTTTTTCCAGGGAGGGAATCCATGGCTTTACAGAGTCTGAGAGGAGTCTGTGACCTCCAAAGACCAAGAGCTACTGTTGAAGAGTCCCATTTTAAAAGGTATGCCCACACTACAAATAAGAGTGTGGAGATCAAGCTTGATTACTTCTCTTAATTGAATCATTCCTAAATACATCCTTTCTGTGTGTCTCGAATGCCTCAATATCCTTACATTATGTGGTAGTATAAACGCCCTTTTCAGTAAAATCACTTATTTGCACAGCTACACCAATTAGAATGTTCTTAAGCTTTCCACTCCTTAGCACTATTTTTGACCTGCAGCTTCCATTTCAGATTTCCTTCACTGTATGAGAACAAATACATATTCTCATATGAGATGAATATGAACTTGGAAGTGAATATTTCACTTCTATGAAATGTGGTATCACCTTCTAAATGCCTCTTTCTACTGGTCCCCTGGGCATTAATCCTGGCATATTTCCACACCAACTGCTAAGCATTCCAGAAAAACAATTCCTGAAGACGTCTAGTCACAGAGACATTTAGAACAAGTGTAAATAAACACTTTCAGAAATTCAAAATAAGACTCTAATTCTGCTCCAATACAGAGACGTGATTTTTCTTTGATTATCTTTTCCCCTTCTTTGGACACATGGGAAATCATTTTAACTTTTACTCCTTGGTAATGTTATTTCTTTCTGCCAATGACTTCCAAGTGCTTGTTATCCCAGACACAGTATAGAAAAGTAACCAAAAAACTTTAGTTCCGCGCTAGTTCAGCTTGTCAGCGCAGGCTGACACAGGACCGAGCTCTCCGCGAGCAGCGACAGGTCAGCGCACAGCACGACGCGCGGTGCCCGTCCGCACGCGTACCTGCGAGGCGGTCAGGCTGGGGGCGGGCGCGGCCGACTGGGCGTGGTGGTGGTGGTACTGCTGCTGCTGGGGCTGCGGCAGCGGCTGCTGCTGTGCTGCTTGCAGTTTGCCTTCAGACTGTGGCAAGGGCTGTATCTGGAACTTGTCTGGCTGTTCCTGCTTTACTATCAGGTTCTTCCGTAGCTGTTCAACTACTCTTTTCTACCAAGTGAGGACAAAAAAGAACAAAATCTGTTAGAATATTGTTCTATCAGCTGTAGAGAAATAGGCAGCAACTACATGCCCCTGACAGCGTCTCTGGAACCAGCTAAATCTAAAACCTGCTACATTTAAAATTCAGACAGCAGAGCAGGAACCCGCGGCCTAAGAAACACCTCACATGTAAACGGGAGCCGAGTCACAGATGAGAAGAAAAGCCGCCGGAGGGCACGCTGCAGGGCCGAGACCCCTTGACGCATCAGGACAGTTTAAAGAGGCAGCAAATACATGATTCTGGAGATGCACTGCCGCAATTCAAATTGCAGTTCTGCTACTTACCAGTTACATGACATTGGTTAAGTCACACAACCTATCTGTGCTTCAACTTCCTGTTCTATAAAATGAGGTGATTAACAGTAACTTTAAGACTCTTCCAAGTACCACGATGCCTCATGTAAAGTACTCAGAATTATTAGTGGTGTACACTGTTGGTCATTTTTTTTCTTTTGCATCTGATAACATAGATACCAGTCTTACTGATTTTTATTAATCAAACAAACATCATGTATGTACCCCAGTTTAAAACATTAAACAGACTTTAAGAAACCTTGATCCCAGAACTATGTGATATACACAACAGAGACTTTACTGAAACAGGTAACTTATGTAACAGGATTACTAAAACTTTGTTTAGGCAGAGTAGGATTTTCAGTACATGGGATGAAATTTTTAAATAAATTTTTTCCCCTGTCTTTATTAAAATCAAAGAAAATGGTGTGTTCAGAAACCTTCATGACTATAATACTACATTTCAACAAAGTTACGCTCCACGCAGGCACAGACTTAACTTTGTTCACAACTAAACTCTGCACCTAGAAGTACGTGGCTAAGTGAATGTCTCTTCACATGACGTTGGAGCGGTGGAACTGAAGACTGGCAAATGGCTCAGAGAAAGTACATTAACCATTTGGGGCCTGACTTGGGCTCTGACTCTCTGGCCCTAATGGCTAGAAGAAAGTCTAAGCAGCACTCCTCATTTACACTTTTGAGGTGAGTTCACCAGCTGAGGTTTGTTACTTCTGACAAAAGCAGACTGCTATTTTCTAATATAGATTTTAAATAGAGAAAAAGAAGTAAATAAAGATCGCTAAATGAGGGGTTAAGTGAAACCATAAGGGCCAGGCTGATTTTCACATTCCTGCTTATGACTCTAACCAACTTCACTACACAATACTCTCTAAAGAAGCCAAACCTGCAGGTTATGTGCTTAACCTATTTGAACATTAAGATATTTACAAAATGGATTTATTTTCAATGTTAAGCCAATACAAAATACATTCTTGATAAAAAAAAATTTTATTATTATTTTTTTACTGTTCTTTTTAGGTAATGAAAATATCGTACAAAGGCTGGTGAAGGGAGAGTAGGCTACACTTTACACTCTGCTAGCACTGCCTCTCTGAGAAGTTAAACATTAAAAAGAAAAAAGAAAGATGCAGAGTTCAAAGTATTTCCAGAAACTATCTGCAGAACATGAAAAATGCAAATCAATAAAAATATAAAATTCTTATAAAAATAACTTTCAAGTCTTCAAAATCCTATTTCTCAAATATAGAAGGCAGAGTAATGAAATGGATATAGTTTAAGAGAAGGGGAGTAATAGCAGTGGTGCTATGGATAATTCTACGCATCACATGTGGATTTTATTACTTGATGACTGCCAAAACATTTAGACATTTAACAATTAAAGAATTATTTAGAGCTGCTTTCAGTCCCCCTCCCCAACATATTAATCAGCATTAATTAAACATATTAACAAACTACGTAAAGCGCAGCACCGGCAGCCAAAGAAAGGGACTAGAGAATCTTTACCAAAACAAAAACAAACCTCCCAGCTCAGATCAGGGTGGGGAGGAGAAACAACACAAACATAAATGGGATACCTGCCAAAACGTATACTTTGAACAAAAACAGCACCGGAAACTAAATCACTGCTATACCAGGCACAGAAGGAAAGGGTGTTTTTCTCCTCTCCAGCCATCCTTGGGAAATACACTGTGCTCTTCCACTTACTGCCTAACTGGGTTAAACGAGAAGCAAGAGACAAAGCTCGGGACCCACTCCTCTTGTTCTGTGCAACAGGAGGGAACAGTAGGGGAAGGAACACTCTGCGGCCACATGGCTAGAGCAAGGTAACGACCAATCAGAACCAGAATCAGGACCGTGGGAGTCAGTGCGTCACCAGGGTTCCCAACTGTTCCTCCCCCGGGGCCTGAAACAAAGAGGGGAGGGGAGATGGGATCATAATACCTGCAAACTTACTAGTCCTTGAGAAGAGGGAAAGAAGAAAAGAGAGAGAGCTGTGCAGATTGGACACAGGTCAGATCACATGAGCTGTGTAATGCTTCCTTTGAAAGAAGGCGCTAGCATATTTCAGAGAGCCGCTCAGAAATGTACTGCCCCGGCAGTCCTTGCTGTGTTCACCAGAAGATGAGAAGAATATCCAGCATATAGTTGTGCATGTCTATGGATTTTTTTTAAATCAAGGTTCACGTTGATTCTTTACGTCACTTAAACTCCCATTCACTGCATTTTGAAGACCAATGCTCTGAAGTTAGGTGAGTTCTGGAGTGGAGGTGCTCCTTCCTTATGAGCACAGAGACTGCACACTCTTTGAAGGCCCAGCTAATAAAGGAGGGCTGCCCTGTGCGGTACTTGGCTCTTCCAGGTTCCACATCCAGGCTTGTTCTAGTTCAGTCTTGTAGCTGTTGCAAATAACGATAATCACATTAACTTCAGTAAGACCCTGATCTAAGCCTGCACCAGTTCTGGGTGGCAGTGAGGGAATACAGCTACAGTATTTCATAACTCTTAGCTTGTGGGGTCAAACAAAGTTCTTAAATAAGAACTTCACAGGTAGTGAGCCTACATACTCTTGCTATTGTGTGTTTTAAACAAAGAAATCATGACTTCTGCTAGTCATGGATGAAGGTTATACTAGCATAAGCAACTAGGTATTTTCAATGTTATTCACATATATTCAACTTAAACAATGCTAATTATCTTGGAACATCATCTTGAAGCTTCAAGAAAAGGCAAAGTCTCACAAACTGGCTATTCGTCACTCACTAAATGCTGGGAAAGACCGAAGGCCAAAGAAAGGAACAGCAGAGGATGAGATGGTTAGATAGCACCACCGACTCAGTGGACATGAATCTGAGCAAACTCCAGGAGATAGTGAAGGACAGGGACGTCTGTCATGCTGCAGTCCATGGGGTTGCAAAGAGTTGGACACGACTTAGCAACTGAACAACAACAACAACAAAGTCAGGAGGGAGAGGAGGGACAAAAGAATTGAAAAAGGAAAAGCTGGAAAGAATGAAGGCAGAAAGGAGAGAGAAAAAGCTAACAATTTGTTATCTTCTCTCCTTAATATATTTTCTATAAACAATAGGCCAGTGTGCCAGACATCCAGAATGGCTAGTACTGCCCCCTTCAATTCATCTGTCAAGAAGTGCTCCAGAAACCCAGCATGTGATTCCAAGCCTCCAATTCCCTTGACATTCGCATCACTAGGTTTCATCAGGGTTTGTTAAGGCAGAAGGGTTCAGAGTCCCTGACATGTGAAGTCACAGTTTCTCAGACAGGTAGTCTCTGTGATAAATACTGTGACATTCAGCAATACTATCAATGTGTTCACACGACAGCAAGACAGACCCCAAAGAGAAACACAGAAGTTTATAGGCTCAATTCAACAGAAAATCAGGTTTATTTTTCTGAAATGTAAGTCAATCATTCCAAGTGCCACGACCTTTGTCAATACAGAAGGGAGATGGAATAGTGGAAGAACAGCCTACTCTTCCACTCAAGCCACCAATTTATTCCCATCAAACACTCACACAAATTCAGAAAGCTTCACTCAAGCCCTGCCTTCCACAACTGCACACTGTGCTTCAAGGCTCTGCTTTTCCACACAGGCACTCAGCTCGCTGGCGTTCCACTCAGCGTTACCTGTCTGTGCAACAGTTACGAGAGGGCCACACCCACTCAAACATCTTCCTAACTTCGTCTTTTTTCCTCTGTGATCAACCACACAGTCAGGAAATACAACCCTGCCCCTTCATACCAGAAACTGATAGAGGCATGTGACTTTTCACAAATCCAGAAAGTGAAGAAAAAACGTTACCCATTTTCATACCTAAAATGCAATGGAAAAACTTTCCAGGCCTTAAGACTTACCAACTGCACAAATGAAGACAGGATACTAAATTTTTTGTGTGCAGAAAAACTAACATGGAGAAATTTACATTTGTTAATAAAATCAGAATTTAGAAAGAGAAAAGAGGATTAAAAAAAACCCTTTCTACTGTTCAACTGAGAATTAATCGACTGTATTTATGAGCAACACCAATATTTAACAACAATGAAAAGGTAAGAAAGATCAGATGAGTCTTCAGAATGCTGCCATGTAATTATTCTCTGAAGAACAGGGTATGTTACTGGCATAACATCAATGACAAAATTACAATCCAGAGTAAAGATACATGTTATTTAAAGGAGATAGAAAATTCAGTGACAATTCCACCATTTTATGAACAACAACAAAAAAAAAAAACAGAAAAGCAATAAACTCAAAATAAGTTCCTTCTTGATGTTAAAACTGAAATTTAATGGGAAGATATATACTGAAGTTATTAGAGGGAATGTTCAGGGGAGACACACAGAATTCTGACCGGGGAGCAGAAGGAGGAATATTGGTGGCAGCATTTATAAAAATATACTTAGGGGAATTCCTTGGTGGTCCAGTGGTTAGGACTCAGGCTTTCACCACTGGGACCCAGGTTCAATCCCTGGTTGTGGAACCAAGATCCAGTAAACTGCACAGAGCAGCCAAAAATATATATATATATATATATATATATATATATATATATATATATAGATGGATAGATAAAATACACACATATACTTAAATATTCAGTATATACTCAGATAAAAATAAT